GCAGAAACCACTGAAGTTGTCTTGTGTGGAGTCTGGCCCAGGGCACTATATTGATGCAGGAAATTAATTTTCCCAACAGCTGCGAAAGAAGGAGCAGGGTCACCCGCTTTTCCCTGCGCACCTTGGAGACCAACTTGCGTATGCTGGTTCGACGCTCTTGGGACAGAAAGACTTGACCCAGGTGGGTATCGATTATTGCACCCAAGTGCAATAGCCGGTTGGTTGGGGATAGGTGACTCTTTTGAAAATTGATCAGGAACCCATGATCCTGAAGTGTTCTGATCGTTAGCCTGACGTCCAAGCAAGCATTCAGTGCCGAGGATGATTGAATCAGAATATCGTCCAAGTAACACTGGAGCCGTACCGGAACTAATCTCAGTTGTACGGCAAGGACTGTCAGGATTTTCGTAAAGACCCTGGGGGCTGATGACAGGCCGAATGGTAAGGCCTTGTATTGATAATGGCGATTCGCATACGTGAAGCTGAGATATCGCCTGTGAGCCGGATTTATGGGGATGTGGAGGTAAGCTTCTGACAAATCTATGGATGTGAGGAAATCCCCCGGTCGAATGCTGCCTAGAATTGAATGGGGGGTTTGCATCTTGAATTTTTGGTACACCAGGAATGAGTTGAGGGTCTTGAGGTCGAGTATTGCCCTCCATCCTCCTGAGGTCTTGGGAACCACGAAGAGGATGGAGTAAAACCCGAGACCTCTTTGATCTGGTGGTACCTGTTCTATTGCTTCTATGGTGAGCAAATGCTGAATGGCCTCCCTCATGAGGCCTTGTTTCATGGGATTCCGTGATAGGGGGCAAGCTATGAAGTGCTGTGGGGGAGGAGCTAGGAACTCTAGAGAGAGACCGTCTCTGATGGTGGTGAGAACCCAGCTGTCTGTGGTGGTACTTTCCCATTTGTGGAAGAATTGTGTCAACCTTCCGCCGATGGGAGGAGTTCGCCTCAAGTCACTTAGTCTTTTGGAAGGGACAACCTCCCCTACCACGGAAAGTTCGCTTGCCCTGGAATTGTGGCTTTGGCCTGTCCCTGTAGCCGGACCGGTCCGAGGAGCGGTCCGGCCCTGATTGAAAGGGCCGATACCCGCTCCAGGGATTTCGGTCTGAGTGAGCCCTAAATGACGTGCGTCTATTATACGGAGTAAAACGTCTGCCCGTCCTTTTAGAAAGGTGAGAAAGTACCTTCTTTTTCTCCTTGTTTTCAATTAAATAAGGAGCAAGTGCCTCGCCAAAGAGGCGACCCTTCTGGTATGGAGCAGCTGCTACCCGCCATTTATGTTTAGTGTCGGCCCTCCAATTTGTTAACCAAAACAACCTACGTGCAGCCACGTTGGAGGCTATGGCTCTGGCCGAATAATTGGCCGATTGCAGTGACACGTCCGCCATATATTCCAGAGCAGCTTTCAGCTTAGTGATATCCTGGTGTGCTCTCAAGTCATCTGGGGAAATCCTGGACTGAAGCTCACGGAGCCAAATCAGTGAGATCCTGGCGAAGAAGGAATTAGAAGTTGAAGCTCTTATTGCTAATGCCGATGCCTGGTGAGTTCTACGTAAGGAAATCTCAGATTTCTTGTCCTCGGCCTTAAGGGCCTCAGACATATCCCCTGGGATCTTGGTGTCCGATAGAATGGGGGAGAGAGCCTCATCCACTCCTGGGAACTCTAAAACCTCGTTGAGGGAAGGGACCGTATCCAGGAGTTTACGGTCTATGCCCCCAAGAGCTGAGAAGGTACCAGGGGATCCCCATTGTTCTTCAATAGATTGAAGAAACATGGGGGGACAAGGAATCTGTTGGTTCTTCGTGACAGGCTTCTGGAACAGTGGATCAGAGCTCAGTGCAGAGTCCTGATCTGCTGTTTGGGGCTTCACCGGCCTTGCGCAAAAGGGAGGAAAAAAGAGCCGGGTTAAATACCCCAATCAGAGGAGTAGCCTCTGTATGTGCAACCTCATCATCTGACCACAGGCCCTCCTCAAGGACCTGCTCGGAATATTCCGAGATCACACTTCCCTCCGATTGCAGTGGAGAAGCCGGATCTTGCTCATAATCCCTAGGATGTGAAGTTTCTCCAGATGTGGAAGGGTAAGAGGTCCCTGGGACCTGAGGGGTTCTCCCCGAAGATGCCATTGCCTGAGCCACCGCCTGTGAAATCATAGCCTGAAGCTGGGCAGTGAAAGATGGATGTTCTGGGGACCGGAGACCCGCCGCCATCGGGGTGAATGATGCCGACGGAATTTGAGGGGGGGCACAAAGGAAGGTTCACCCTGGTTGTCAGATGCTATTTGGGATAGGCCCGGATCGGTCGGATCTGTGTCCTGGATTTGCATCCTCAGACCTTGGTCAAATAGGGACAGATGATCCCTACTGAATCCCGGCGAGGGATCGAGAGTGTGCTCTGGGGACCAAGCCCGTGGGAGGGGAGAAGGACGTAGTCCCTCAGATGTGGATGCAATGGGGAGAGAAGTGGGAACTGGTTGTATCTGCGTTGTGCGTTGTTGTGCTCTGGAAAATTGACGTTCCAACGCTCTATGTCTGCTATCTGCCTGCTTCTCTGCCGTCTTAGAGGTCCGTTTGACCTTGGCCTTGGCTTTTGATGGTGCTTCCTGGTTGGGCGACTTGCGTTTTGCATTTCCACCAAAGGTGGAAGCCTGTGGAACGGTGTTATCCGCCATAGTGCAGTAACAAGGAGATAACAGGCGCTCACCAGGAGATCCCTGGATCCGTCCTGATCTGCAATACACTAACAATGAGGTAACAGGCGCTCACCAGGAGATCCCTGGATCCGTCCTGGTCTGCAGGAGACAAGGCTGCGGCCCACCTAGATGGGACAGGCCTGCACGAGGGTCTGTGAGGTCCGGCCCACCGACAAGCACGGAGTCACACCACGCGATATAAGCCGCGTTCAGCCCAAGGGAGCTGTCCTGTTCCCTAATCAATGAAGAATTGATGGTTAGAATGACCAATAATAATCTATTAATTAATTAATTTTTTATTTTTTTAAAAAATAATTTTTAATTTAATTTTTTTTTTTTTTGCAGGGAACCCTCGTGCCTCACTTAGTGGCGGCCCTTAGGACAGCAACTGGCCAGCCACCAGATGCAGACAGCGGAACAGGCCAGCAAGTCAAAGCAGTTGAATTGATTCACTGAGTGAAAAGGACCAGCAGGTAAGAGTATAGGAGTCTGAAGATCAATAAAGAAGTTAAAAGAGAACAAAGGAAAAAACTTCCTCTGAGGAGGTATATATATATCCAGAAAACTCACTCTGTCAGCCACGAGGCTGATTAAAATGGCGTCTGACCAGTGGGGGGGGGAAGGAAGAGCAAGAGCCAAAGGACTTGATCCGATGGGGGGGAAGTAGGATCCCCTACACCCCCGCGTGAAAATGCCTCTCTCTCAATGAGCTAGTGAAAAGTAATGCAATTGAATTATTTGCAGAGTGGGATTGCGTGGGCCCCAAAATGGCGGCCGCGACGATCCGAGGCTGCACTCAAACTGTTTGCTGACTGAGAGAATAGTAGCCCCTGTGTCCTCGTAGGCCAGACCCTCCAAACGTGAGTATCGAGAGAGGAAAGCCCCCCGTCCAGCAAAGTAAACTTTTAATATTTATTATTATTATTATTGTTATTATTATTATTATTTTTAAAAAATATTAATTGCGATCGAGCACAGGCCTCCAAAATGGCGGCCGCGCCGATCCGGGGAAACAGAAACGTTTTTTGTTTTTTGTTTTTTTGTAAAAGGGATCTCCTTGAGGAGAAAGAAATCCGGAAAGTAACTAGTCTATTCAACTAAGGAAGGCAGATAACGGAGGCTTTGAGTAAGGTGAAATTAGTAGCTATGACCAAAAAATAAAGAGACAGAAAGGCAAAAAAACAGGAAAAAGGGGGGGGAGGAGGATAATGGCGATCGCCACGCTGCACAAGGCAGCGTTTTAACGATCAGCTAATTGTCGTCAGTGCTTGCCTGAGGAGAAAGACAGAGACCGAGCAGCTCTGTGTAGGGCTTAATTTCCTCCCCCCAGGAATAGTAAAGTCCACGGATGGATTCTAACTACCTTAATTTTGAAATCTAATCAGGAGCCAAATTCCACGTCTTCTTCAGGGCTGAGACCAAAAGAAACTGGGGCATGCTCAGACCCTGAAGGGGCATGGCGACTTTGATTGTTTTGGTCTGATTGGGCTAGAGGACAATTAACACCCATCCGTGGAGTCTACATTCCTCCATTTGCTGGAGAATGCATATTGGTAACAAATTGTTATATCACTGCATTGCTTAATCTAAGCACAGAGTAATAGACTTTTCATGAAAATGCAAAAATATATTTGCAATTGCCTTGACCAAGAGATTTATTATTCCCCTGTCGTAATATGTTGTTCCAGGATTGGAGGGTTCCCTCCCACACCAAATTTTTCACCATTTTGATTGGTATGATATTGGTGTTTATTTTTCTATTACTTGCGGGATATTAATGTTTCATCATTCTGATCCTCAGCTTACACCATTCCCCCAATTTGGTACATACTAAGCTGTCAGCAGAGCCAGAAGTCTTAAAAACCTAACCCTTTTAAGAATGAAAGTAGAGATTATTGGTATGCCAAGCAATGTGCAAAACCTATAAAATTATGACTAGTTCAGGCATAGAGAAGAATGTGAGACATTTGTTAATAAGGTGATTTCTTGTGTGCCCAAATGTTCAGACAAAGGATCCAACTCAGCAATTTTCTTCCAAAACTAGCAAATAATCACTGATAGCCTTCTCCTTCATGATGATATAATTTCCTAATCACCTAATCCAAAACCTTGGCTTACATATCAGTGCAATCAGATTCTATGTGAATGGTAATATATGATGTATACCTACATGTATACAGCAGTGTTTGCCTATTTTCTTACTTGCTAGTGCACATAAGCTTTCAGTGCAAGTTATGCTAGGCAAAGCAAAAGTTCTAGTTTGAATTCTGCATCTTAAGGGCACAAGTGCCTATTTGTAGAATACAATTTGCTATTGAGTTCATGTAAGCATATTCTTTTGGCGTACATTGAAATAATATGCATTCCGTGGATGCACACCACTCATTCATTCTGCATTGGTGCAATGTTGCAGCTTGCTTGTAAAACATGTGTCCAACTTGAAAATGCAACTACATTCCTAAGCTTAAAAAGTAGCTTCCTTCATATGGAAGTAAGACGGAATGGCATGTTCTCAGCTTTATGATGTGGAGCTGAATACATTATGACATAGGAATAGGAATATTCCTGTATAGGAAAGGGAAGTAACTCTTGTCCACCTGCATTCCTCTAAACCAACAATGATGGTCTTTTTGCCAGCAGGAGCACTTTGGGTTGGGCTGAAATCCACAGATCTTCTTCTTTCTTTTTCTTCTTCTTCATAATATTATGTCTTCTTTTCCCCTGGAGTGGACCACTGCTGCTGTGGCTATTTTTGTCCCTTTGCTGCTGACCACAAAAACAACAATGGCAACAGATGAAAATTCCTACAAGGAGGACAAGAACAGGTAACCCCATTAAAACAGCGAGACAGATTGTGTTATAGATGCCCTCCTGATGTTTTAAGCAGATAAAAAACCAGATGGAATGGAAAAAATTACTGATTTGCTCCATGGCAGCTTTTACACACTGGAAACAGGTCTGATAGGATATTAAAGTTGCTTTCCTTGACTTTTGCTTCCGTCTTAGATGGAAATTCTTTGTGGATCTTGTCTTTGAAGATATGCAAACGTCTTCAATTTTTCAATCTCTGCAAAGGTAGAAAATGAAACATAAAAATGAGTCAAATGAACAAGGGAAAATGTTTCAGTTAATGAACCTGCTGGTAATGACCATAAGATACATTGTGATCTAAATTTTATGTTTGCCAAGGACCTTAAGACAGGCTATATAGCTTTCCATATTACTCTCTCAATATTTTAATGAAGTATGTTAGGAGAAGAGATGGGTCAAGATAATTACAGCTGAATGGTGAACCCACCCACCCTTGAACCCACTCTGCCTCCATTCAACATTCTAACTATCATATTGTTATTAAAAATGAAATGTTTGTGAGGATGATAGAAAAGTTGAATTGGAAGTTATGAAATGCTATAGGAAATACCTTCAAAATTGCGCCACCATTAAATTCAGATTAAAATGTCAGAGATCATGGTGTATTTTTCTATAGTAATTGCTAAAAATTCTTTCTTTGCATGATATGAAGTTATGAGAGAACTGTCTAATAACAGTGGCAGAATTACAAATCAGGAAAATCATAAGTCATATATCACCCCTACATAAACTCAGTAGGCTACCTTAGTCATTTTCTGCCACTCTATTTCAATTCCTCCTTCTGCAACATGAGTCTAAGAACACTGGTCTAAACTATCCTAAAATGTACATTAAGTGTTTGGTACAACCTGACATGATCAGTAAATGATAAATGTTAGGATTATATAATCAGATATTTAGCTGAAAGTAGATCTACAGAGACAATAGGTATTATCATTGGAAGAATTGAATGACTAGGTTGAGGGAAGATAATCCTGGAGAAAAATCTTTTAAGTGAAGGTTAAATGAAAAGTAGGCCCCCTTCCTCTATAATTATGGTTTAAATAGTGACATTTTAGTAAATTAATCTAGAAAGAATTCCACACTTTTTCTATTCAATCAGATCTTGCCAGACCATTCCATTCAGATGCCCATGAAGATGTTTCTTCTATATTGGGAAAAGTGACATGGTACAAAGCCTGGACTATGGGGTAAGATTCAACTTTGCAATTGCCTTTCGGCTGGTTCTAGATGCAGCAGCGCCTTACATTGTCATGCTGCAGCACACTTCTTGTGCTTCTGAACTCTTAATTGTTGTTTCAAGTAACAGAACTGGAGCAGGTGGAAATGACCTACTCGAACAGACAAAGTATAGAGTTTTTTCATCATGGTTTTAAGAAGTTCATTCATTGTTGGCAGAAATGTGTGATGAATTATGGTGATTATATGGAGAAGTAAATATAGATAGCAAAAGTGTTCTATTCAAGGATCATTTTCATTTTTTCATATATTAAACTATCTCTATTTAAAATAAAGTTTGTGGAGGCAGAGACATTTCTTTTTATTTGCCCCTTGTTTTTCAATATCAAATTAATAGTCAATATCAATCTGGCACATCATCATCAGATCTACAGAGGTGAAAGACTGATTGGTAGGTAAACAGCTGTCATAAATACTCAGTAGTGTCAATTTACTTTTGCAGAAAGAAACAGTGATGGAGGAATGCTGAAATTGATGTTCTGTTGCCAGTTCACCAAGTGTGCAAAGCCTCTATTTTTCATTTAAAAATGCAGTATGTTTAAGGATGGCAACTCTGGTTTATTTCTAATTTGTAGAATGACCCAACAAAAAAGGTCTTGCTGACATCTGAGATACTTCACCTACCTGTACTGTACTGATTCTAAAGCAAACTCTCACTTTCATGGATCTATTGATGATACTGATTGTGTCATCTTATCAGCAATCAAGTCTCAGATTTTACTTATCTCATTTTTTAAAATCACCCCATTCGGGACACAAGAGTATTTTCCCTCTAATGTCAGTGATGATGTCAGTGTCTTGTGACAGATGATGATCTGCCTGACAATCCAGCACCAGCTTATCAGGAACTTAGTTGCAGTATTTACGTAGGTATCATGGGCAGTGCTGTTATAACCCACCAGAATTAAGATTTAAATTTGCTAAAAATGAGCTGGTTTAGAATAGTAAGTGTTCCGTGTATTCTCAATGTTGACAGTTATGATGATAATCAAATGTTTTGTTAAAAGAATCTAAAGACATGAGATGGTTTAACTGTAGTTGGCAATCCATGAAGTGAAGGCTGGTACAATTTGGAAAAGTGGTATCTTCCAGATAGTAGAAAAGACTGAGAAACAATTGAAACCTGTTGTACTTGAAGAAAATATCTGGGGTCTACTTCATGGTTAGTGGCCTTATTGTCTGCCAAAGGAACAATAGTTACTTCTGTTGTGCTTAGTTTGATTAATTCCCCTCAAACTATTATCTGCATTGGAGATGCTTGCAAGGAAAAGGAGCAGGGGAATTAAATAATTACCTATCCTCAGAGATGGCAGCTGTTCCATGATTTAACTCTTTTGGACATGCCTAATACAAGCCAGGCTGATATACAAAAGAAAGATTTATCTGATTGTAATTCTTTGTATAATATACCAAATATTTTGGCATGCAAGAGTAAAATGGGCCACAATTTACAACAAAAAGTGGGTCCCCCCCTCTCTGGAGAATTGAAACTTCCTTGATTAATGTTTAATATGTGTAGTTCTTACACACCAGTAACTTGAGATGTGAAAAAAGAAAGGCAGAATAGACTTAGAAATGCTAAATTATAGAATAAGGGAAGCTTTCCCTTCTTTTCTCTTTTTAGAGTATGGCTTGACTTATAAGAAATAGGGTGCAAAATACACCAGTGCTTCTTCATCTTCCCAACTGCAGCTGAACCTTAGAGACACTAACTCCACAATACATTGGCGGATCCAGTGAATCAAACTATGCTTCTAGAGTCTTCTTGCTTTAGGCAATCTTATTGCTTTTTAAATTTAATTTATTTTTCTACTGCTCTAAGAATATTTTATTCTGTCACCATTTCCATCCCCCTTTTAAAAAGCAGAGTAAATCCTAAAAAACTTGGAAAAGTTCCTTAAGGAAGGGCAAAAATATATATACTAATAGTACTCAAGACACTACTATGTAGAGCCAGCTTCCCTTGCAAAATATATAGGATGATTTTCTGCATGCTCAATCTGAAATACAAAATTGTATGTCAGGAAAAAGTGCCTCCTCAAGCCTCAAATGAAAAACATCTGTACATCTCTGTAGTCTGTTGCTTGCCCGCTCTAGTCATTGGTCAGGTGAGCTGGAATTCTGGATACTAGCACCATACATTTGGAAGACTAGTCTGGAAAGGTTACTTAAGGTCATTAAGAACTGCATGACATTCTAAATAGACAAAGGAAGCCTCATCACATCCAGCCAATACTACCTCCCCCCCCAATGCAGCTGGAAATCAAGGCACAGAGAACATGTGAGTTTCTTGAGGTTGTTCAGGAAGTTTTAGCCAAAGCCAAGAACGGAACTTCTTCCCGTTGTGTCTTGAATGTTTTCTTTGCCTGAAGCACAACAGCCTCCTTCTCTAACCTAAATTGCCTCTTCAGCTCATTCGGAAATGCCAAAGGAAAAATAAAGTGGGGATAGAGAAGCCCTTATGTTATGATCTCTTGCCAAGACAGAACAAGTTTAGGAACTGTTGCTTAGAAGGGAAACTTTGGAAAATCATTAAAAAAATATGGAGAATGAGCATAGGGACCTTTCATTCTGACTTCCTTCTAGTTATTTTTTTATTTGTTCAAATTGGTAGCATGTAACACTTGAAGGCCTATGTCTGTTTACTTATCAGCTATAATCACCTGCTACCCCATTTAAATAGGTCAATCAATCCCTTTGAGCTCTGAGATCATTGATGATGGCGTGGTGCATATCTTTGTTCAGCCAAATGTTAGCTTTGTTCCATTTCTTTCCTCTCACTTGATATCTTACAGCCAAACATTTAACTCTTTTTATTTAAGGAAATATTCTCATCAATATTTCTCACTGTTGGACCACAGCATGTATTTACTCACCTAGTTTAAATCTGATGTGTCAGTCACCTTATTAATGACTTTACAATAAAAGAAAAAAATGTAGAATTGTAACATATCAGTAGAAATGTTTTGTTTATTCTGAATATGTAAACAATTACCCATAAATGGTAAACATTAATTTCATTTTTTCCCCACGTAAACTATCATATTACTGGGTAATAGGGTAGAGACATAGGTCAGTAACCTTCTAGGCACACCCTGAATAGAAGAAATGAAACCTTGAAAAATTGCTTTCATGAATAACCCCTCCAGATGATCCAGAATGATACAGTGAATAATGATACTGAAAACCACTGAAAGGTCTGAGAAAAATAACAATTATATACTCTCCTCTTCTAATTTCCGGCATAAGTCTAAGTTAGCCCAAGTTGTCTCAGGAATATATCTAAGATGAAACTCTAAGCGAAATGGCTCCAGATGATCAATTTCATTTAAATGCATCTACAGCAGCAAAGCGACCAGCATGACCTTATCCAGAATGGAACATTTCAGATGGGTATAATTATAGAAGACTTCCATGTTCAGACTCACCAGTCTCCACAAAAAAAAAGCCTTATAACTGACTACTTTAAACATTCTAAACTCAACTCTGATCACTTATTTTAATCTAAGGCCAGATCAACCTGGCCAATTTAATCAGCCAGGAGACTCAAGAGTCAAAGAGACAAGTAGTGTCCTTCATCTTCCCATATATTTTGCATCCTCAGTATTAAGCTGAAAATAATTCATATAAACACAACAGTTTGTCAAAGTTAGTTCCCTATAATTTGCCCTAGCAGTAGAATTCAAGTCAAAGTGAATCCAGTCAACTTTGTTCAAAAAGTTTGATAAAAGTGCTCATATCAAATTACTGATTTGTTCCTATTCCAATCCCGCAACATATTTTTTGTTTTTATATGCTGTAGAATCATCAACCAACTCTGAGTTGCATAGTCTTGCCATGCATAAAGAATTTAAAACAGCATAAATACTAAACAATGGATAATATTACATGATAATGTATTTCTGTGCCAAAGAATATTTTATTTGGTAATGCTGTCCATTGTTTGGTTGGTTTTTA